TGTAGGGAAGTTACCATGGTCGATTTAGGGATTTGTTGAGTAGAAATGGGGTGCTTTCAGCTTCAGATTCCAGGTTGGCATGTATATCTTTCCACTGCCAATAGTTCTCTTAGTAAGAATTTAATGTGAATCAAAGTTAGCCTGTATCTTAAAGTGAGTGAAGGAAATTTGTTGTATAAAGAGGAATCCATTTACCTGGCTTTTAAATAATTCTTATGAATTTGTCACCTCTGTGCCTATTTAAAGGTAGTATTTTGCCCCATATTTTCTTGTCTTTATAAAACACTTAAACTTGCAAAGTCTGACTCTGCTATAGCATGGAGAAACACTTGAACAAAAAGCTCTTCCAGTATAAATACTGTTTCATTAGAATATTTGAGGCTAGGCATTGTCTTTTTCTTGTTGGAACAGTACCTTGCTAACTAGTGCTAACATGGCAGGATAATTGTTAAGCTTCACAAATTAATAAGTACATAAACTAGATAGGAATAAAAAATATTTTTTACCTCAAAAAATGGCGCTGATTGTTTTTGGCAAGTATGCACAATTTCACAGGCTGTTTGGGTTTTCTGTTTGTTTATTTTTTCGTTTCACTTTATTTGGTTATGGTTCCCGTGTTCCATCTGCAGCTTTGTATGTATTTCACAGATAAGGTAATGTTTGAAGCACTTAAACTCACCAAAATTTTTAGGTAATAAATTTGATTAAACTTGTACTGAGACCACTGGGTGGGATGGAGGTTTAACAGGGAATGAGACACGGGGGTGGGTGGGGTGGGAATATGTATGTACAGACAATATTCCTTGATATTTATAATTGCTAGGAATTAATGTGGCTTATTAGGGGAGAAAAAGAACTAAAAAACACTCCCTGCCAACATAAAAATGCATTTTCTTTTGGAAAGAACCACTTTATTTTCCTCCTTTCTTTTTCTTTTTTCCTTTCCTTTTTTTTCTTTTCTTTTCTTTTTTTTTTTCCTTTCTTTTTGTTTTAAAGATATTTGGGCTATAGGGTGTATATTTGCAGAACTACTAACGTCAGAACCAATATTTCACTGTCGACAAGAGGACATCAAAACTAGTAATCCTTATCACCATGACCAGCTGGACAGAATATTCAATGTAATGGGATTTCCTGCAGGTACACATTATGTTTTTGTTTTTGTTTTTAAATCACTGTTGTTTGAACTTAGATATCTTCATTGGAAAGGTGTATATTTTTAGCTGATGAAAGCTACTCTTACTCAGTTCTCTGTGTTGATGACTTGCATTAATCAAAGACCCATAGAAATAGCAAAATTTGTAGAGTTCACATATTAGCATAAAATATTTAGGGGTTTCTTGAATTTGCAGGGTGTATTTTTGTTTCATTTTGGTTTTTGGTTTTGTTTTGTTTCATATTCAAAATGATTGCAATATCTGTATTTAAAAGGTGCCTTTAGTTCTCTCCATTGGAGATGAAATAAAATTCAGCAGTATATATTTCTGTCTGGCAGTATATATAATAATGTCATTACTTGGTATTTGATTACAAATTTTGAACAGTATTTCTGTTTAGGGCACTGTGCAGTACATTGTATTGAATAATAGCGTTTTTTGCTATATAACTCTTGTCAGTAAGAACATTCTTTGAAGTTAGAACAGTCAGGATGTGAGTGAAGGGCTCACATTGCACAGTGACCGTGCCTGCCTGATTGCAGCAGGGAGGGAGTTGTTGGGTGTCCCGTCACAGGCTTTAGATCTGTAGCTGCATCCCAGTCCCTTGTGCCACAAGACAGCCGTTCATCACCCACCAGAAACTCTGCGCAGAGGTCCAGAATAAAGAACATTTGTTTAAAACCCCTACATAGTTCTGGCTAGTCAAGTACTTATTAGAAGTTATTTCTTATTATGAATTTTTCTTAGGTCAGTAACTCAAAACTAATACAGAAATATCTGGGAGTTATAATTCCACATCCCTTATAAGTGTTAATTAGCAGTAAATGCAGAATAACTACCTTTCTCCAAAACTGACTGACATTTCTACAGAGATTGCTTTGTTGTGATGGGAATTTCATTTATTCACTAAATATTTATTTATTGAGCACCTGCCATGTTTCAGGCACTGTGTTAAATATGAAATATTGTCCATATAACAGACGTGACTCTTGCCCTCTTGGAGTTGACGTTGAACTGCTCTAAGGAGAATGTTGAGAGAATGGGAGTAGTTTGAGTAATGGGGAGAATGGCCTTTTCTTCCCACCTCTGATGTACCCATCATATCAGAGGCCCCAGGGGAAAGAGCATGGCTTATAGGGGTGGAGTTGGGGGCAGCCTCCATTGGTGATGGTTCTAAAATGGTTCTTAGTATGTGGTTCCCCAGTTAGGGTAGGCTTAGCTTATAAGGAACCTAAAAGGCAGGCAGCAAAATTTAGACTTGTGCTAAAGAATGAGACTCTGTGATAAGTTCTTGAGAACTAGTGACATGGCTTATGTTCAATTTTAGACAGATTAGTGTGGCAGGGGTATGTAAAAATCAATTTAAGAAAGGTAACTCAAGTCAGGAAACCAGCTGCTTACCTGTAGCGGTACTCCAGGTATAAAGTGATTTGGATGGAGAAGAAAGAATAAAGATATAATTTTTGACAGGAAGCATGTAATTGAGGAAAGAATAAAAGATTATCTCAGCATTTCTAGGTTGAGAAATTGACAAAATAGAGAAATTGAACAAGGAAGTAGTTAAGGAGAAAATGCCATTTAGGAATTTAAAGTCCGTGTTTAGTTTACAATATGTGCTATCTGGAGGTTAGGTAGCAAATATTTTCGTAAGTCAGTTGAAAGGAAAGCAAGCCTCTGAAGGTCATTTAAAAGCTGAAGTGCCGTGAAGCTACCTGGTAGAGTGCGGGCACCTGTGGGCTCACGGTGAGGGTGACAGCAAGCTTCTAAAAAAAGCGTGTGGTGCCTGAGTAGCTCTAATGACAGCAAGACTGATCTAGGCATTTCCCACCTAATGTATCCAGTAGCTGGAAACTAGCCAAGGCACCAGCTGACTTGTTAATAGGCTAGTTGCATCCTACCCTGTTCCATTTCAAAGAGCTGCTACTGCTTACCTTGATGACCACATAAACCAGTGTATTTAATGAGGGGAAAGTGAGGAGGGCCATAGGAAAAGAGGTACAGCTTAAAGCTACTGAGGGGGAAGATAGTACACTTATTGTTGAGGAGATTGGGTGCTGATTTAACCAAGAAATTTGGTGGGACAAAAGTGGTTTTACAAATAGAAATAGAACTGTTAAATAACAGAAATATTTGTTTATAACTTGTTCCTCTGTAGTTACAGAAATTGAGGTAACTTATAGTAAAACATATAGAAAGTAGGCATTCAAAAAATAAAGTTAAAAAGAGATAGATTGAACTCAGTACAAGGTATGGGGAATTGCATTTACGTGTTTAAGATGTTTACTATAGCTGACCATTTATTTGAAGTCTGTGCTTTCCTGGAAGTTAAAAGTATAGGACAGGTAATGAAAAGTGAAGTAACCTTTATTAAAATTCTTGAGAATAGGAACCTAGACAATATAAAATTATATCAATGTATTTCACAGATAAAGATTGGGAAGATATAAAAAAGATGCCTGAACATTCAACATTAATGAAAGATTTCAGAAGAAATACGTAAGTTGGAAAGAAAATAGACCTTTTATTGATTTTTGCTTTTCTAGAATTCTCAGTATAAGATTGAATACTCAACACAAGATCATTCTATTAAATAATTTTACTTATTTACTCTAATAAATACTTTTGCATTATGATAGTCTTCATTTCTTAAGATGTTTGAATGGTGATAGAAAGAAGGTGAATATCTTATATTAATTAGCAGCTGATTTGGATATGAGAAAATAAGTCAGTTCATTTCTTTCCATATTTATTACTTTCTGGAAGCTGTGCATCCATGGAAAGTATCATAGCTGAAGCAGTAAGTAAGAGACTGAAATAAACAAACCTTGCTGGTAGCCACCTGCCTACCCGCCCAGGTTGGTTGTAAATTTAAGTACGTTTTAATGGAGAAGAAGGAATATTTCATTTATTCTCAATGTAGGATCAGGGGGATTGGGAGAGGGATTTTATAGACCTGTGACAAATTTTTTAAAATTTGTATTTATTTTAAACTTACTAGTAAGGCTGGGTTAAACTCTTGACCCATATGTTATTTAAGATAATTGTGGAGATAGCATTCATGTGAACAAAGCCAAACAGTGTGCATATTATTCATGAAATTATCTTGCATTTAATCCGTAGTATCCATTCAGAAGTGACTAGTGTGAATACTGAATGAAATATAAAATTGATTGAATACCATTTTCAATATATGTTCTGTGTCGGTTATCATTAAAATAATTCTGTTTGGAAAAACTTCAGCCAATGTAAAATTGACCTCATATCTAATACAGCTATTTCATAGTATTTCTCTTTCAGGTATACCAACTGCAGCCTTATCAAGTATATGGAAAAACATAAAGTTAAACCAGATAGTAAAGCATTCCACTTGGTAAGCATTAGAGAAAAGTACTAAACAGTAGTAATGCATTTTTTTCCCCCTGTTAAGCCCAACTGAGGCTTTTTTGAGTCAATTTCTGTGGTTACTCAGCACTCTTAGAGTTCTTTAATAGTAATACTAATGCAGAGATCTCGTTGGTGCCTATAGTAAAGATATCAAATACTTGTCTTTCTAAACCCATTAATTAGAAAAATTAATTAGAATTTCTAATTAATTAGAAAAATTAATACTAATTTTTCTAAACATTAATTCACAGACTTAATGTTTGGTTACATTAGATTTTCTAAAGAGAGTCAGTGTACCAAGTCTGTCAAGTCATTTTTAAAATTCCATTTATTGGTTTTCATCAGTTATTTTAAAATTTCAAAGAAGAATCAAGATGAAAACAATCCCACTGTTCAGAAATAAGTTTTACAGATTACCTCTGTATAAGTTTACCTCTTATAGACTTGGCTGTTAAAGGTCCTTCAGGGACCTTTATGTGCTTTTTCTGGAAGAATATAAGAAATGTAGTATATAGATAGTATATAATGGAAAAATGGTTTGACCTAGAATCTAAATGAATCTGCACTATCAAGGTAATTTGTGACATTATATTCAACTATTGTCAATTTAAACTTGTTTACAGTAAACTTTCCATTTTTACATCATAACAATTAAAAATGTTTTTCAGTTTTATGGTTTTCAAAAAAAGTAATATAAAGGGGGAATTTGGGGAAGCGGGTTATATTTTGCTTGGCTTTAAATTCTTTTAATCCTTTATTCCCAGTATTTTTAAATGAGTTCATTAAATGGGAATTTTTTTACTTTGAAAGGATTAAGCTTTCCTTTATTACAGTCCCAGGCCCCTTGGCAGATAGTTCTTGTATCTCTGCTTTTTCTTCTCCTTCTCCTCTTCTGCTTCTGCATCTTCTTCAGTAATTTTTTATCATGTTGTGTATCATACATTTCATATCTAATCAGCAATTTAAAAAGCAGTGCTTAACTGACCATATTACCACACAGTGTATTATTATCCAAATCATGGCTTCTTATAATGTACTTAAAATAGTACCCAAATTGGAAGGTAAGTTAGATCCTTCAAAGTTATGGCCTTATTTATTCTAACAAAATAATGATAATAGTGGTAGAACAAAAGTCACAATTTAGGGCAATTATCTTACGTCCCCCCAATTCACTGCTACTCAGTCTAGTCTGAGGAGACTCTCGCTACCGCCACCACTAAAAAGTGTAGAGAGATAGGCTTCCTTTACAGCTTACTTGGTTGTTTTTACTAGGGTGACCTATCTTGGGTGGTTCCATCTGAAAGCTCTAATACAATTCCATTAAAACGGTTGAGTATTTTAAGTAGCAAATGCATGCTTTTCCTTTCAATCTCAAAATAAATCTTGCTTCCACTGAAATATCAGCTCATTAAAATTAAAGTCTCAGCATCCCAGCATTTCATCTGCATTTAAAAATATTTTCTGTCCGTTTGTTCTCTGATTGTGTCATCTCCCACTGTCTCCACATGTCTGCTAGTTGCTTGGTTTTCAGAGTATGGTCATAGGTTGGCGGCACCAGAGGCATCTGGGAGTTGTTAGGAAGTGCTCCAGGGATGACTCTGGTGTACTCTAAAGCCTGGAAAACACTGCATTAGATCAGAGATCATAAGCTGAGAGACTACTGTTTAGATCTTCTCTTAAATCACATATTTACATCAAATACTCTAGTTCTTAGAGCCTTCAGTAAATTATATTTCAGCCAAAAGATACTGAGTTTTCACGTTAGTGTGACATTGCTTTATGTGATAATAGTCATGACAATGGCTAACACTTAGGTAGTGCTTGCTTTGTGCCCGGCACGGCTAGAATTGCTTTCCACATATTAACTCGTTTAATTCTGAAAATAAACTTATGATAAAAGGTACTGTTTTTAATCTCCATTTGAGAAATGGGGTTACAGAGTGGTTAAGTAACTTGTTCAGAATCTCTCAACTGATAAATTCATAGCCACACCTCTGCACTTTACGAGCTCTGTGCCAGCCACCACATTTATTCAGACCAGCGCAGCGCTGTCGGGAGGACTCGGACGCCCGCGCTGTCTGGTAGGGCAGCTCCAGCCACATGTGCTTGCTGGCATGACTGAGAAACTGATTTCTTAATTGGTTATTAATTAATTAATTTTTAATGTGGTTTAATTTGGTTGTAATTCATTTAGATTTAAATCTAAATAGCCACTTGTGGCGGGTGTATTATTTGTGTTATAATAAAAGTTTTCCCCTTAACAGAAAATACAAGAATTTTAGTCCCATTTTAAATTGGATATAGCAATTTAGGGAAAAGGTCATTGGTTTAGAGTGAGAAGACATAAGTTTAGTTACTTCTTGTAGGAGAACCAAGTGAGATAATGAGTCTTAGAATGACTAAAATGTGAATTATTACATTAAATGGAACAACTGGGAGATTTTTTTGTTGTTGTTAGTTTGGGGGAATAAATACCCTCCAAATTCTGGTGTTATTCATCAAAAAACATATGCCTCCCAAAAATGTGCCAAAGAGTATAAAACTAAGAGAAGTAATGCAGTGATGTGTTTATGGTTTGTGGTTTCAGCTTCAGAAGTTGCTTACCATGGACCCAATAAAGCGAATTACCTCAGAGCAGGCTATGCAGGACCCCTATTTCCTAGAAGACCCACTTCCTACATCAGAGTAAGTGATCAATTTATTAAGTCACTAGCATGATAGAGTTTTTTGGTGCATATGCTTTACTTTAGTTGTCAGCTCCAAGTTGCCATTGCTCTTACATGGGGACCCAAGGAAATCCTTACGAGAAGTGAAAAGTGAGCTCTGATGACTGAAGCATCGTCAGGGTTTACAGCTGTCAGTCCTTCAGACTCCCTGAGCTGGCTCACTGCTTGCAGTTACAGTATTGTGTTCCAGTTGCAAACTGCATTCCCAAATATATTTGTGTTTCCATACTCTCATTTTAAATGCAGTTTGGAGAGTAAAATAATGACATTCCAGCTGGAATCTGTCTTTTGGTTGTGGTGATAAAAAAGGAACCTGGGATCAAAGAAGAAAGCTGAGTCCTATCAGATGATTATTGATTATTTTTATACAATGAAAAGCCCTCCCCTGGCCTGCTGTGACGTCACTGCTTAGAAGAAGAGATTCATTGTGTCACAGCGGCATGAAAGGTGCTTAAATCACAAATAAGCAGGCAGAGAGTCCATCTGAAAAGATGAAAACAAAAACCATTTAAATGCAGCATTTGAAATATTGATTAGTATACCCGAAATCACTTTTCTTTTTTCTTATGATCAGCGTTTTTGCCGGTTGTCAAATCCCTTACCCCAAGCGAGAATTTTTAACAGAAGAGGAGCCTGATGACAAAGGAGACAAAGTAAGTGTTAAAGTGCGCTTGGCCACTTGTTTAATTCGGCGCCGCCCTGCCACTGCCCGGCGTGGGCGCGCTCCGTTCTCCTCCTGAGCTGAGCTTTATTCTTGTGTTTAACCACTTGAGAAGAACCAGCAGCAGCAGCAGGGCAATAACCACACGAACGGGACCGGCCACCCGGGGAATCAGGACAGCAGTCACACCCAGGGGCCCCCGCTGAAGAAAGTGAGAGTCGTCCCTCCTACCACTACCTCAGGTGGACTGATCATGACCTCAGACTATCAGGTACTTCCCATCTGTTTCGCATTGACCTGCCTTGTCAGTATTGCATGTGGGCTTGCGACCACTGGGAAATGCGACGTCGTTAAGAAAATACCGACCTTTACATGCCTGGGAAACACGTTGACGTGAAGAGTTATTGGCATTGAAAGCACTTGGTGGTACAGTAGAGGGGGCTTAGCCAGACTTGACATGATCAGACGTAAATTACGCCATTCATTAACTCTGTGACCTTGGACAAGGCTTTAGCTTCTCATCTGTAACATGAGACGGGCGAAGCCTAACCTGCCGTTGCCGTGGGAGCAGCTGTGGTGAACTTCAGCACCCAGCGTACAGTGGGCGCTCAGGAAGTGATGTCTGTCGTTTCTGAAACCACAGTGATTAAGGACTCAGGCTTCCAAATCCCAGCCCTGCCACTGACTTCTGGGCAACCTTGAGTAGGTGGTTCAGATGTTCTCAGTTTCCTCATTTGTCGGATGGATGTGGATAATGGTCAGCGTGAGGCTGTGGTCAGGATTCCATGAGCGGACGTGAGCTAAGGACAGTGGCCGGCCCGACTGACAGGCATTTAGTAGATGACACCACTCACCTCTTCGTTCTTACTATCGTCGTCATCATTAGAATTCTTAGTAGCGCTCACAGTGCACGGGACACACTTCCTGGTGCTGGTGGTGGTGCTGGTGGTGACTGTAATCATGGGAAGAGCTTGCTGAGTACTTACCATGTGCCAGCTCTTCTGCTAAGTATGAAACAGACATCATTTCCTCCAGGCGTTAACAACTCTGTGAGGTCAGCATTATTGTCGCTTCAGAAAACTGAGGCTCTAGAGGTTAAACCCCTTTCCCGCGTTCACCCCACGAGCTGGAGGTAGACTCAGGACGCAGGCTCAGATCCGCGGGGGGTGGCTCCGATGCCACTTGTGGATCCTCTCAAGTGACAGACCCATTTTGAACGTCGTGTACCACCTCCCTGCTGGTTCTAATCCTGTTCTCAACTGATCTGGATTTCAGTGTGGAAGCATACTGAAAACTTGACCAATTAGAGTTATTTCCCTACTAAAAGAGAGAAAGAGGTCTTAGTAAACTAATACGGCTCCCAGAGCCTGCGGCTACCCCTCAACAACTAGATATGACCTCTTTGCTATGGTTAACGGGAGGTCCAGCCCACCAAACCCTGGGAATCATTGCCTGAGTAGTAATTGTCCTCCAGTAAGCTCACAAACAGGCGTCTTGCGGGTTGATGTTTGCTCCACTACCTTTTCCTCCTCACCTGGAGGGAAAGAACGCACCTCTCGGCACAAGGATTGTTTGCACGCTCAGGTGGTGCGTCCTGAGCATGAGAATGAAGCAGGGTGGAGCATGTTGCTGCGCTTCTGTTTGTTGAAGTTATTATTGTGGTGGTTTTTGTGGGTGGTTTCAAAAATAGCATTTCTGACTACAGTTTCACATGTCCACTCTTTTTAAAATGTTATTTTTGCTAGGGTTGGCAGAATTTCAAATTACATGATTTATTAAACATGCTTTGAAAGAAGAAAGTATTAAATCATGGTTAATCTTTTGTAGTGTTTGTCTTGGGGAACTAACAGTATGAGAGAGAGGTGCAGGACTGGGAATAGCAATAGAAGAGATCAAAACTAGAGGACTCTGAACTCTGCCCCTTGCGCTGTTTTTAGAATTGAGAATACCACTCTTCCTACATTTTAATCATTGTAACTTTACTTTTGTATATCACTTGTAGCAGAAAGTAAGATTCATTAATGTAAAGGGCATAAAAATAGCTCATGCTGAAGAAATGATTCTGCGGTACCCTTTTTTGTCATATTCATTTTTGTTCTTTAGTCATGCGTGTGTGTTGAGAGTTTTCTATTGAAGAAACAAGCATGTAGTCTAGTTTTGAATTTCTTAATGTACACATCATTGAGTTCAAGAGTAAGCATCCCAGGCAAGTTAGTTATCATTTATCAGGTAGATACAAAACAGCATAAAAGGGAGTTCCTGTTATAGAAAAAAAAAAAATGAACTGCACAGCACAGTAGTAAGACTCAGCTTAGTGTTATTTTACCAGAAATACTTCTGACCTTCATAAAGAAAAGCTGATATTAAAAGATTTGGGGGTTTTGTCATTTTAATTCTAAAGCCAGTACATAGCACAAGACTTTTAAAATTCTTACTGCCGTAAAATAGAAGACATTTCAAACACACTTAAGCCTTGCTGGCTCAGGATACAGCCAGCGCATAGAACACCTGAGTCACATGTGCCCTCCCTCTCCTTTTCCAGCGTTCCAATCCACATGCTGCCTATCCCAACCCTGGACCAAGCACATCACAGCCACAGAGCAGCATGGGATACTCAACTACCTCCCAGCAGCCTCCACAGTACTCTCATCAGACACACCGGTACTGAGCTGCATCGGATACTGTCCATGCACTGTCGCTGTGCTGCAGGGCTGCCTGCGGCTCTCGGCGGGAACCTGGAATGGGCCATGAGAATGTACTGTGCAGCCACGTAGTCAAATGTCCGGTAGCCGAGTTCCACCACTTTTCACAGATTGGGGTAGTGGCTTCCAAGTTGTACCTTTTTGGAGTTAGACTTGAGGAGAAAGTGCTGTAGCACAGTTTGTGTTGTGGGTTTGCTACTTCCATAGTTTACTTGACATGATTCAGACTGACCAACGCATTTTTTTCAGTGACAGTCTGTAGCAGTTGAAGCTGTGAAACGTGCTAGGGGCGAGCATTTGTCGTTGTATGTGGTGAATTCTTCCAGTGTAACAACATTATCTGACCAATAGTACACACACACACAAAAGTGTAACTGGTACTTGAAACATACAGTATATGTTAACAAAGTAACCAAGACTCAAAATGAGATTATTTCGGTACACCGTTCATTTTAGTGTCTTAACAGTGGGTTGATTCGTTTTCTACATTAATCAGTGTTTTTTGACCAAGAATATTGCTTGGAATTTTTTGAAAGTACAAGAAGCCACATAGTTTTTCCAGGAAGGTTTCAAAACTCCCAAAGATTGATTTCCAACTTATGAGTTTGTTTTTACTTTTAATCTATGACTTGACTGGTATTAAAGCTGCTATTGATAGTAATTAAATATGTTGTCATTGATATAAACCTGTTTGGTTCAGCAAACAAACTAAAATGATTGTCATAGACAGTGTTTTATTTTTCCTGTTGGTGTTGCTGATTTGTGAGCATGCTTTAAAGATGAAAAAAGCATGAATGATAACTTCCTTAAAAAGGTGCGGCATCCAATTCAGATATTTTGTCCTGATTTTAAAGCTGGTTGGTGTAGTGCTACTAAAATTTTGTTCAGTTCATTTTCTTTTTAAAAACTTGTTCGCACGTTGTTTAGGGTGCCCTTACTTCAGCAAAGGAGAAGGAGTAGGAGAGCCTTAGAATTTTTGAGGAAAAGGAAAACCTATAACATACAATGTACTGTATCAAACTATTTTACATGAATGACACAAGTATTCTGAATTTAAAGAAATTGAACATTGTTAAAAACAAGGTGTTATGTAATAAATTTATTTTTCATAAATCAAAATATGGAGTCAGTTGTATTTTTATATACACAAAGGTGTTTTATTTTAAAATGTGCCTTAACAGGTGGCCTCCAAATAAATCTCTTCAGTTGTTTTCATTAATAATATCTATATCTTCTGCCTCCATAATGAAGTAATGACTTATGGTTTAGATACGGACCCGTTTCTCTGTTACACTTAGTGCTATAATACAAGATGTGAAATAGACACCTTTCTAATAGAAAGAAATCATAATGAGCCTTCCATTTCTAGAATAATGCCAAATTCTGTGATATGCTGAGCCTACTTTGACTCTTTTATCCCAAATAATTATTTTTACTCCCTCCTTCGACACAAAATACAGAAGATTAAGAAACTACCATTCTCCTTTTCTTAAAAATTCAACTCATTCATATAAAACTATTATAAAACATGTTAAGAACTGAGGAATTCCGATAGTGAGTGGCCTGACCCTAACGGTAACGGTGGTCTTTAGGAGCTGAACCCGTGTTTCCGTGTTGAGTCTTCCCGCCCCAGTTCACGCACACGATGCCCAGATCTGGCTACAGAGTTCCCCCGCTGGGTCACTGCCATCAGTCTTACCTGTATTTCCCTTCCACTCTGATGGTCTTCTGCTTTTTTCTCCCTGCCTTTAATGAAGTGCTTTTAAACTTAGTGTGTATGAGTATCATCTGGAGTTTTCTGTCTTCTCGGGGTCTGGCCCCCGAGGTTGTTTTGGTAGGGTTGGGGTGGAACATGGAATCCTCGATTTCAACAGGGTCCCCAGTTGGTTCTGATGCAGTAGTTGAGGGACACGCACAAGGAACGCTCCCAGGCTGCTCTAAAGCTTGAGCAAACTGTAGCAGTTAAGTGGCTCGGAGAGAGGGCTGCTCTGTTGACAGCCATCTTCTCCTGCGTGAATTTCAAAAAGCAAAACCCACAATAACAAATTCCACTTGAAGTGTTGGAAACGTCTCGGGCACGGTCCTCAGATTTCTTTATTCCTTTATCAACCCCCATTCGCTGAGCAGCCCTGCCCAGTCTTGCTGGTGACCATCAAATTCACAAGTCCAGCCTCTTTCCTCCCTGAGCTGCAGACTCATCACGTATTTAACTGCGTCTGTGACAGACGACAGACACCCACACCTGCCGTGGTTCTCTAGCCTGCTCCCTGGCTCTGCTTCTCCACGAAGCACCTCTCATCCACACCTGACTGCTTTCTGTCCCTTCCCTGTTCCATCCCAGGCCTCTCCTCTTCACACTTGCTCCCTGGCTGCCGAGTCCCAGATTCCCAGCCCAGACCTGCCTGGCACATCTGACCCATGACTCAGATTCTCTCTAGACTGAACGTATCGAGACTTGCCTCCTGCCTCGACCGTCCAGCCTGCTGTCCTACAGACTTACCCGCCTTCACAGTTGTCCGAGCCACAGGGAGACCTTGGCTCCATACACACGCACGCCCACGACCCCCTCCACCCCACACACGGCTTTTCCTTCAGTGGCTCCCACCTGCTGTCTCCTCCCCCTTCCCTGCACCTGTCTTCTTTGTCACAGCAGCCTGGGCGGTCCTCCTGCCGTTCCTCCTCTCACCCCCATCCGTGGCAGCCAGACCCCTTACTGTGCCCAACAAGGCCCTGCGTGTCCTGCCGTGTCTTTCCCACCCCGTCACCTGCTTGCTCCAGCTCCAGCGCTGTCCTCGCTGTTCCTGGAAGCTGCCACGAGCTTGTGGTCTCGAGACTTCTGCACTTCCTATTCCATCAGCGTCTGTCTCTCCCCCGCTTCTCGGCTTCCTCCCTCACCTCTTTCAGGTCTGCTCAAATCTTACCTTATTAGAGGCTCCCCCTTGCACTGTGTATAAGACTGCCATCTGTCCTCGTCTCCCCACACCAGCCAGCATCCTGCCCCCTTGGCCCGGCTTTATTTTCCTACATGGCACTGACCATCACTAACACACACTTGCTTCTTGTTTTTCCTCGGCCCGCCCCAGAAGGTAAACTCCACAAAGGCAGGTTTTTGGTTTTGTTTTTAAAATGGAAATATTATTGACATACAACACTATGTAAGTTTAAAGTGTACAGTGTGTTGATTTGATACTCATGATTCCACCTATATGACATTCTGGAAAAGGCAAAAAAACCATGGTGTCAGAAAACAGAGCAGTGGCTGCCGGGGTGCAAGAGTGAGATAGGGATTGACTGCAAAAGGACATGTGGGAGTTTCTCTGAGTGATGCAACCGTTCTGTATCTTGATTTTTGCTGCGCAAGTGAATGCAGAAATCCTCAGAACTGTGTAGGTGAGTCTTAGTGGTTTTAAATTCAGCCTTAATAAAAAACAAATAGAAGAAAAAAAAAAAAGCCTACAAAATCTAGTGTTGGCAACTGGAATGCTCATACATTATTGGTGGGAATATAAAAAACAGCCATTTTGGGAAACAATTTGATGGTTCCTTATAAAGTTAAACGTATACTTACCATATGACCCTGCAATCACACTCTAGGGTATTTACCCAGTGAGGATGAAAGCATGTCCACACAATAGTCTGTACATGCATGTTCAAAATACCTTTATATTATAGCCCGCAAATGGATGTCTATTAACAGATGAATAGATAAATTGTGAGATATCCATGCAGTGAAATAAATTATTCAGCAATAAAAATGAAAGTTTGGTAGAATCTTGATTGTAGTGGTGGTAACACGTGCACATATATACGTTTTTCAAAACTCATCAAACTGTACACTTTAAATTGGTGATTTGTATGTAAATTGCGCCTTAAACTTGATTTAAAATCTAGTATTTGTAAAGCTTTTAGCACATGCCTAGCTTTTAAGCGTGCATAAATGTTAGCTATTATTAGTGTTTTCTCCAAATGGAAATACGACTTTTTTCTTAAGACTTATAGTATGACCTAGTTCTAGCAGGTAAGTTAAACTTGGAGTCATTTCATGACCAGACGTTTCCTAGCCTCTCATGAATCAGCTTAAGAGTGTTTAAACGAGTGAAACGGAGAGCTAGTGCATTGATAATCCCAAGGCTGGAATATTCAAAGGTCCCCCTGAATTCAGTAGTCTTCATTAAGATTTTTTTTTTTTTAATTCTGCAAGGGTTTGGGGCTCCTGCTGTTCTAAAGTGTTACTAAACAATTAATACAGTTTTCATCTCACTTATGAATTTGCTCATAACCTGAATGTTCTTTGAGCGAGCAAGAGAGTTGAATTCACTAGATATTTACTGAGCATTTGGTATGTGTTTGATAGTCCGTTAGGACTTGCAGCCAAACAGAACTGAAACAAACCTCAATCGCCGTCCTCAAACACTCAAGCAACTACATTTCCATTTAATTGAGGAGTCAGGATACACACAGGAAACACAATAGTGGATGCCATGACGGGATCAAGCATTAAGCAAAGGGCTGGGAACCATGCATGACTCTCCCGTCTTGAGAGGAAGTGGCACCGTGGGAAGGGTTTGGGGTGGGGAGGATTGGTGTGGAGCATCTGAAGAACACGGGGCTTGGGGTCAGAAGACCTAGGTCTTGGCCCTGCCGCTTACTTAATATCAGCCTTGGTCAAGTCATTCACCTTTTTTTTTTTTATTCTACTGTACGCGGGCCCCTCACTGCTGTGGCCTCTCCCGTTGCGGAGCACAGGCTCAGCGGCCATGGCTCACGGGCCCAGCCGCTCCGCGGCATGTGTGATCCTCCTGGACCGGGGCACGAACACGTGTCCCCTGCATCGGCAGGCGGACTCTCAACCACTGCGCCACCAGGGAAGCCCAAGTCATTCACCTTTTCCAAGCCCCTGTCAATAATAAGAATTGTAATAGTAACAATGATGTTTTCACTGTCACAGAAATGCCAGAAGGCATTGTGTAAAGCAAACTGTGCATCACGCTTCAAAGTTGCATAATTAGCTTTATTATCTCACCTGGACCCTAAAGTGACAGCGAATGCCTACCATGTGACAGGCACTGCGTGCAGCATTTTACACATAGAATTACTCCTCACGAAAGCTTTGTGAGTTAAATTATCTTCCCCCATTCTGCAAATGAGAATAGTGAAATTCTGGGAGACCGTGCCCTGCTCAGGCTTATTCAGCTATGTGGCCAAGTCACATTTGCTTTACCTCCGCTTCCAGGACTCAGAGAAAGGAATAAGCCTAGGAATGTCATACAGGGTGAAGTGTGCATCTGTCCAGAGCACAGAACATGTCCTGGGC